ATCATAATTTCAATCGGCTTCAAACAACAAAGATAACGAAAGATAGAAAGAAGCAGAGAGAACGCAAGAAGATGAGCTATAGTGAGGGAGAAAGAGAGAGAGAGAGGGACAGAGTGAATGGGAGTGAGAGGAGGAGCAGCCAAGAACACGCATCGGCACCTGCATAGCGCGCACTCTCTTACACCTATGCAGCCAGACCCCAACGCAGCAGCAGCAGCAGAGGCAGTGGCAGCGCAGCAGCAGTCAAAAGAAATAAAGCAAAAATGTGTAGTAAAAATAAAAGAAAGAAAAAGAGGAAAACCGAAAAGCTGAGCGCAGAAATCAACAGCCGCACTCAAAACGAACTCAAGCCTCAGTCGCAGTCGCAGTCGAGCGCGTGCGCGCATCGAAAGAGAGACCAGCAGCAGCAGCGACAGCAGCAGCAAAAAATAAACTTGAAAGCAGAAGAAATCAAAGCCAAAAGCTGTTTGAGAAAAAAAAACAAAACAAAAAAATAAGCCAAAGAGAAGCCAACACATGCAACCAGACGGACAGAGGGAGAGGCCGAAAGCCAGGGCCCAGAGCGAGATGGAGCGAAGTTAAGCTCAATTCAATGGCGTTTTGGTGCGAGCGAGTGAGCGTTTGCCTTAACTGATTACAACAACAGCACTAGCAGAGGGGCAGAGAGGGCCGGCCGGGCGCACCAGCTAGAAGTAGTAGAAAAACCTAAAGAGAGCGGGTGCTGGGGGGGGGGTCGGTCCCAGCAAATTTGTTGCGATGCTGCGTCGTCGTTGGCGTCGTCGTCGTCGACGCTTCGTCTTCGTTCGATGAATGATGTTGGGGCTTCTGCTACCTGCGCAGCGACAGCGACGACACACACACATGTCGTGTCGTCGCGTAGCGTCGCTCGCCCCTCGTGTGTGTTGTCCATTGACGATGTCGTTGTCGTCGTCGTCGTCTGCTGCTCGCCAATCAAATGGGGCGGGGCCTAAATGGATATTTCTTTTTTTCTGCCTTTTTTCTTTCTCCTCTTCTTCTTTTTTTCTGTTTCTTTTTCTCCTCAATTGGTGTTGGTGTCTGTCGTGGCGGCGCTGCCTTTGTAAGCGTGTGTTAGTAAATGTACCTGTATGAGTGTGTGTGTGTGTCGTGCGATTTAGTTTTGGTTTTTATTATGGGAATTATCGGGAATTGAGCGAAACGACTTGCTTGGCCTGTCACACGAATGAGCGCGAGCTATCCGTTGGGTGAGTGGAATGGGCGAGAGATAGGAGAGTGCAAGTGTCGGTGAGAGGGTTGGTGAGTGAGTGAGTGAGCTTTCGCAGGCTAACGGTAAGCACGATCTGAGGGGATTAAACTCTATGGAATCTGTGATATTCTTTACGCTCTGAAATGCATATTAAGTGTGTAATATACTAACCCTCAATTTACATTAATTGACCACTAATATTTCGGGTAGAGGTATATTGCTCCCTAAAAAATATTAAATATTTTAAGCCTCAAGAAATAAAATCTTACCGTTTTCAGGGCTAAGTATTCCTCTGCTAAGTTGTACATTTTGTTGGGAAATTATCATTAAGCAGGATACAAGAAAATGCCATTGATAATCCATAAGCCATATTAATTTTAATTTCCACATTTATTTATACTTTGAGTAAATAAAATAGTATTTCTATTTGCATGTTTCCAACTGTTGTTCGATGTTTTGTTCACGCTTAAAAATCGAACTTCATCATCGATAGAAACTTCCAAATACAAATGATTATCAATGTTAAAAGACAGCAAGCAATTCCATAGAATCAAGAATGGAGAACTCAAGCCCCAATCAGGTATAAAAATGTATTTTTGCTATTTAAATTTCCGGGTGGATTTTCCACTCAACTCTAGTTCGAAAGAGCTCGAAAGATGGGCTCTCTTTCGAACTTGTTTCGGCTGCGACCCCTGTGACCGCTTGCAAATGCAATTCAAACTCAAACTTGATAGAGTAAGAGAGGAAAAGAGAGAGAGCGCGCTCTCCAGTTTTTGAGTGAGGTTTGGCTGATTTGAATGCGGTTTTGTCTTTGAGTGGTGTTCGCTTTTGAGTGGTGTTAGTCGGTGAGTGCTTCTCGCGCAATGTAATCTTATCAGACACTTGTTCGAGGGAGAGTGCACCATCCGTCCAGCCATCCAGCTATCCATCCCATCGATTGTCAATCACATGTGCACAAATGAGAGGGCATGAAAGCTCTGCCGCTGCCCCCCAAATGGTTGGCTGAGAAAAAAAATCGAATAGCAGAGCGGAGGAGCAACGCAGCAGCAGCAGCAGCAGCAAAGCTAGCGCCAAGAGCCGAGCATCGTGTTCTGTCTTCGTGTGGGTGGCTGCCCTTGCTCTCGGCTCCACGATGCGGGCGCCGGAGCCATTCTTCTTTCAAAAACTGCAGCTCAGACTCTGACTCCGACTCCGACTCCGACTACGAATAGGTGTAAGCTTCCACCCCACTATCCCCTTACCAAAATTTACTCACTGCTACTTCGTTGGGTGTGTAGGGGTTAGGAGGGGGTGTATGCATGGGGTTAAGGTTGCCTTTGGCCTTTGCTTTAGCCTCGGTTGTGGAAGTGAGGTCTTGCTATTCGATTCATTTAAAACAGGAGCAGAATTTGGTATATACGAGTATTTATTATACATAGATGAAGGTTAATTAATCTCTAAATCTTGTAGAAAGTGCAGATCAGCGCACCGACCTAATCTTACAACCAAAAATTCCAATCGAATCGTGTTATATTTTTCCTATAAAAAGAGCTTTAACTTTAATTACCAGAATATTCTCTTCAAAACTAAAATAAAAGTACCAACTTCCATGTCCATGTAACATGCAATAATAATAGTAATATGTAGTGGAAAAACTTAAGGAGGTGGCTGGATATAATTTATGGGAATAAAGTAACAGCAAGGGCTTATAGGATATGTAATGGATTTAGGGTAGACTCTACTCTACTCTATGTTTGTGGATGCAAAATGCTTAGTTTAACAAATGAACAAATTAATGATAACATGAGCTGCACTTTTGTTAATTAGGTATACCCAAAAGTAACCAAAAATATTTACAAATGGCATTCAATTGCATCGTTTAGTGCCACATTTCATCACGATAATGGAAGCCTGAAAGAATTCGCAAAACAATTTTGTATTGGCGCCGAAAAGGTAGGAAATACTTGCAGGCTTAGTTACATTTGCCGGGCTTAAATCCAAAGGAGCTCCAACTGCCCAACAAAGAGGAGTAAAGGACTCTACGCCACCACAGCTTCTATTCCTTTGTCCTGCGACGCGTCGTTCCGCCATCGAGAAAATAACCGAGGAAATCCCAGACGCAATAATAATATTACCTCCCTCCACCCACTGCATCCCCTCCACCACGAACAGTCCAACAACAACACAAAAACGAACATAACGGTAATTCATAAGCAAAACCAGAAACAAAACACAAAACAGTAAAAAGAAATCACTCACGAAAGTCAGCCACAAATCTGTTGCTCTCTCGCTTACACTTTCTCACGCTCTCAGCGTGCTCGCGCGCTCTCCGTCTCTGTCGCTCTCTCTCTCTCTCTCTCTCTGCGTTGCACTCAATCTGCGGCTCAATAAACAAGAACTACAAAAGGAGGTGTTGGGTGGTGGGCGGTGGGAGTGGGAGGGCGCAAGTCCCTATAAGTTTTTCCCAATAAGAAAAAAGGCATTGCTCTGTCAGCAGCAGCAGCAGCAGCAGCGACGGCGACAGAGGCCCTGCTGGCTGGGCTACAAATTGAATGCCAGAGCAGCGAGCAGAGGCGTCGCTGCCCGCCACACATGGAAGAAGGCCCCCCCCTCTCTGTGAACCGAGAGCGAGCGAGAGGAGAGTAGCGCCAAGAACGGGTATTTTTTGAATGAATGAATTTCAATACATGCAGCTGACAGCAGTTATCAGTGGCAGTGGCAGTGGCAGCGCAGCGCGGCGGGGCAGACAGCGACGGCGCAGAAAAATGCTCCAACAACAACACCACCAAGCGGCAGCAACACAGAAATCAAAAACCTATTGAAAGAAAAATCAAAAGCAGCAGCCAGCCAGTCCAGAGACTCATTGAGTGACTCTCGTTCGAGCGCTCGCTCTCTCTCTCTCTCTCCATATCTCTTGAGTGGAAACAGAGGTTGCCTCTGCCAGTCTCTGCCTGTGTGTGTGAGCTGCGACGCAGCGCCATGCCGCCGTTCGTTTGCCGTTCGAGGGTTGTCGCTGCTTCGTTCATTCTTTCCGTTTCATTCTTTCCGTGGTCGTCGCCTGCGCCGTGCGTGTGTGACTGAGACTGAGACCCCGTTGAGGAAAAAACGGAACGGAGACCCGTAGACCGTGGACCGTAGAGTTGTCGAGTTGTGTCGTCGTACCACGCTCCACACAACAAGAGCAGCAACAAATATTGAAAGAAAAGGCGCTACGGCCGCCCCGCCCCCCCAACCATTCGCTCTGTGCGTCAGTGTGTGTGCGTGTGTGCAAGGTGTGTGTGTGTGTGTGTGTGTCCGTGTGTGTGTTTTGGTCTCCGGTTGCACGGCACACACGATATAAACAACAACAACAAAACGAAAACAAAAGAACGAAAACCCGGAACCGGACCCTATAAAGGAGGATAGATCGATCCCCGCCCGAAAACAACATCAACCAATTGGAAACCCCCAAAAAAGATACAAAAATCTGTTATTTTTTTCAAGTGATTTTTCTGTTTTCTGTTCAATTAAAAATCAGAAGAATGTGCGCGTGTATTAGTGTCGAGTGACAACAACAACAACAACAGCAACAACATCAGCAGCAAGAGCAACAGCAACAACCTGAAACATGTGCAAAATAATCAACAACAGCAACACGATCCACAACAACCACAGCAACACCTGCAACACGATCCACAACAACAACAGCTGCGTTTGGGCCCAGGATCAGCAGCAGCAGAAGCAGCAGCAACAACAAACAACAACAAACACAACAGCCATGGTCTAAACTCAATAATCAACAACAAATATCCAATCATCGATCAACAATCAACAATCTTCCCCCTAACACATTCACTCACTCACTCTCTCACACTCTCTTGCAACAAAAAGCGCTTCCTCTCACAACAAATTGTATTGCATTTTCTTTGGAAATTGTTGGAAAATAATCAAAATCAACAACAACAACAACAACACCAGTTATTGAGCAACATAAATAAGAGAGGAAAAATCAAAAAATAAAAGGCTTTGGGTTTTTTCAAAAGTATTTTATGAATTTTTTTGGGCACGTAAAAAGTAATTGCAACAATACACCAACCAAAAACAACAACAAATCAGGTGTCAAATGTGATGTGTGACTAAAACTTAATCAAACTAACTTACTAACAAACAAACGAGAAAACAAACAAAAAACAAAACTGAAGAAACTAAAGTGTAAAAAGTGGGAAAACAATTTGCGGCATTTAAATGCCAGGCCTTAGCCACAGATTTATTGGCATTACCAACACCAAAAACAACAACTGCAACACTTGCAACAACAACAACAACAATTGACAGTCGAATCTTTGGAGGAAAGCCCACGAATGCAGCCAACATTGCCACAAGCCGCTGGGACAGCCGATATGGATCTGACGGCTGTTCAATCAATCAACGATTGGTTTTTCAAAAAGGAGCAAATTTATTTATTGGCACAATTTTGGCAACAGGTAAGAGGAAAACACCAAACAAATTCCCACCATTGAAAAGTGCTTTCCCTGCAGAAAAAGTGTCGTCGTAGGGCTATCTTTTGATGCGAGGTTTATCCAACTGATATTTACATAGCTCATTTTGTAGTTGTTGCACCCACCAGAAAAAGTTCTTAGTGAATTCTTTTGTTTTTGGGTGGATTTTGTTGCATCAGCAAAAAATTAACTGCAGTTTAGTGATATCCAAAGTGTCAACAAGTTCTCCTAAGTGAAATTCAACCGCCCAAAAAAGACCCATCAATGAAATCTGAAGAATGTTTCTGAATATTATGTTCTGTGTTTACGTATATCATTTTTCTTTTGTTTTGGTTCTTCTTTTGGGTTAAAAATTACACAACACGAAAAATATGTCGCTAAATTTGATTTTTTTTGAATTGGTGAAAAAGTATCTCCTAGCGAAAGCTGCGACCTCATGCAATAGATGCCATGGAAGTGAAATTTCACCCATCAAAAAATTATTGGAATTATATTTAGGGCGTTCATCTATCCATGAAACGATTTAAAAGAAAAAAACTGCCGCAAGATGCAAAATGTGTGGCAAGGTTCTCCCACAACCGGGCCTCCAGACTGTGGGAGCCAGCGAGGGAGAGGGGTGGCCTTAAGTTAACTTTTTTCACTAATTGAGTTTGCGTGTCTGTGGCAAATGTATGTTTTATTGTTGCTAGCATTTGTTGCCTGCCTCTAATTTGTGTTGTAAATGTATTTATTTGTTGTTCCCTCGATTATTGATTTCTGTGTAAAAATGAAATGCAAAATGCAACAAACAAATAATTTAGTGAACAATTTATTGCATGAATAACTTCCTTTATTTTTGCTTGTTTTGCTTTTGGAGCAGACAAGATCGTCAGGCAGACAGACGGATACCCTCTAGGGAGGGAATTTGTATGGGGGGGTGGTGGAGGATGCCCAGACGATGTTGAAAAATGCATTGGCTTCATGCCAGAGTCTGAACAAATAAGGCGGCAAAAGAAGTGGCCTGTCCTGCCCTGCCCCTTCAGGACCAGACATATGAATATTTCCCTTAGATATACGAATATAGAATGAATATGCCTTAGATACACGAATGAATATTCTCTGGGTGCTGTGGCAAGTTAATTAGGTTTTGAGGGGCACTTTTTAATTGGAAGAGAGAACTCCATCTCCACTCGATTGATCCTCCAAAAAGTGAGTGATTTCCCGTGAAAAAATAAAATCTTGTGGGGGGTTTTGCCGTCGGCAAGTGCAAATATTTGTGCACACGATGAGTGGCATGTTGCAAATAAAAAGCCGAAACCCATTCTCAGAACTCGTTAGCAAGAACTCCCCTTCTGCAGCCGTTCAATCTCCGCTTCTCTAACGATCTTTTGATGATCGATTGCCGCTCTATGAATCAATATTTGAGGCCAAAACAAAATTAGAACTCGATCCCCACATCCCGCCATACAATAACAAAAAAAAAAGGTAATTTGCCATACCAAAAATAGAAGTTTTATTAAGTAAATTAAAGACAAAAAAATAAACAGAAAAGAATATATGCTCCCCTCCAGTCGGCAGCTGCCCAAAGACATTCTTTTCTCTTTTTTTTTTTTCTTTCTTTCTGTCGTGTTTGTGTGTGTGGTATTTTTGTGGATATTTATTTATTTACATTTTGTCTGCAAAATTGACACAAATCGAAATCGAAAAAATGTGCTCGCATTGGCATTTAATATTTTTCGGATTTCGAATGTGGGGCAGCCCCAAATGAAAAAAGAAGAACAGAAATTAATTTCCGTAATGCAATCTATAAACTTGACCCAAAGACCCGAAATACAAAAAGACAGAACGAGGGAGCGATGGAGCGATGGAGGGTTCTACAATTACCAAATAATACAACAAAAAAATGAAGAAAAAAACAGAATTGCAGACTGAAAATTTGTCATTGATTTGTGCTGTGATCCGCAAACTGGAAAACGCGGGGAAAAACTGAAAAACTAATTGCCAAATGCAAACGAAACAGAAACCGAAACCGTATACAACAAATTATATATGATGATAGAAATTCAAGTTTTTTTGGGTTCCGTTTTAATCAAATTTGAAACCGGTTCAGGGTTTAGCCACCACCACAGCACAGACACACACACACACACACACACACACACAAACCATTTATATCCGAGAGATACAGATGCAAACAGGAGGCGCCGCATTGATGATAGTTTATAAAAAGTTTTTAATTTTCAAAGATGGCCGATGTGCAGGAAGGATGGCATTTGCATATGCCGAAAAAATCGAATCGAAATGAGCATCAGCCATGGGCCAACCCTTGGGATGTCCACGCGGGCTTAAGCCGTTAGATACACACGGTTACAGATACACAGATATACCGTAGATACGTAGATACAGATACAGATCGCTGCGTGTGTCGTGTATAATTTTTAGCGTTTTAAGTGCAATTTACCCCCGTGCTCGTGCTGTGAGAGAGCAAGCTAATGAGTCAGAGAACCCCCGAGAAAGAATCATTCAACCACCCCGTCCAACCCGTCCACCCGTCCAGCCGTCCGACCGGCCACCCACTCACACACACAGAAAAGATACAAGATACAAGCAGAAAAAACATATATTTGTGAGTTCTGTTCAATCGTTCGATCGCTGGAAAGATATGTTAATATAATTAAATTAATTTGTCAGCGCGGAAATTAAAACACAACGAAATAAAAGACCGAAACAGAAACAGAAACAGAAACAGAAAAATCCCCCACACACAAACGCGCACAGATGCATGGCCACAAATTGTATCTATGAGATGCGACAAGCGATACGAATACGAAATGAAAATCGAACAATTAAAAGCTTGTGGTGGGTGTAGTCTGAACCCCGAACCCCGAGCCTCGATCTGAACCACGCAACAAATAATTCCAAATAAAAAATCGTTTGAAAATTATTATTAAAAATTGAGTTCATGAACTGTGGCTCGCCATAGATGTATCTATGCCTGTATCTGTATCTGTATCTGTATCTGTATCTGCTTCTGTGTGTGCGTTGATCAATTTTTATATGATGATCATTTGATGTTCTTTCTCTTTCCGGTTTATGGCATTAATTATGAATTTGTTGATGAAGCTAATTGAAGCTCTCGCTCATTCTCTCTCTCTCTCTCTATGTGCGGCAAGTGAAGAAGTGTCCTCACTGGAACTCTGCATTCCGAATGCATTCCAGCCATCAAAACTCTGACCCCAAAAACTGTTGTAAGCGCTTAGGCCAGTAATTAGTTAATTTGGCATCAAATTAGTGCCATTCGGAGTGCATCCATCCATGAAATGAGGTCTCAAGTAACTCTGATTTCAATCATTAAAATGGTCCACAAATTTTCCTCCCATTCCATCTACATATAGAATAATGAGTATTCAGAATGGGTTTTCGTTCAGTTTTGATTAATCTATTATGGAATATACTCCGTTCATTGAGAGACCTCAAGGAACTCCGCTTTCAACTTTTGGATGCTCTGGAAACTTTTCTCACATTCAATCCGCTCAGTAACGAGCACATTCTGACAGATTTAGATGAGAGGCTCAAGCTGGCTCTGCTGGCCATCAAATCAACCTAAAAAGCCTCACACATGCCAATGGCTGTGGATTGGTTGGCGGGGGATTGGGGGGACACGACACTAATTGAGCATAAATATCATAAATGCTAAATGCGCGGTGTATTGCGTGGTGTGCATCAATTGTCATTGCATCATTAATTCCGCATCTAGAGGAACCACCGTTCGTTCATCTTAAGTTCCAATGTTCCACAAAAGCACCACACATGTACACATATCTCTGGATGGGGATGCCAAAAACCCAAAAGGAGAGGAAACGAAGAAAAGATTCGACGGCTTTTGTGTACAACTTAATAACAACTAATTGTCTTTTTATATGCATATACTCGTAAGCGAGTACGCACAGCACACAGACGCGAGATATAGGAGCTCTCTAAACCGAAAAGATCGAGCCAGAAAAAGCAAAAGGAAAGGTACGGGGCTGGGAAAGGGAAGAAGGATGGGATGGATGGTTGGGATGGATGGATGGCAAACCTGTCTTGAAAATCTCTTTTGTTTTTTCTGTTTTGCTGCTGCTGCTGCTGCCGCTGCTGTCTTTCATCTTTCAGTTGTCAGTAATTTGTGCAGCTCAATATATCAGTCGATATCTTATGAGTTTTTAATTTCAGGTTTCTCGTACTCCGTCGATCTATGTGTCTCTCTTTAGCTGTCTCGTTTCTGTTTCTGTTTCTGTTTCTGTTTCTGTAGCTGTCTCTGCCTCCAGTCAGTCTCTCCATCAATTTGATTTCCTACACCGAAGCACAGAGAGTTTTTCTTTTGCTTGAAAAGGACAAATCGTTAAGAGAACCTGATGTCGGAGGATATTGAATAAAATATCATTTTGTGCACGCCCCTTTTTCGAGAACTTGACTCTGAAATGTCGGAGATGGGAGATGCGGCATGGGGCATTGGGCATTGGGCATTGGGCATGATGATGATGAGTTTTGAAGTTGCTGTTTCGTTTGGGGTTCCTTCCTTCTTGTATTGGCAACATTTTGTGGTGTGATCGATACGGTTGAATGCAAAAAAAAAGAAGAGACAGAAACGAAAAGCGAGTGCCTCTGCCTGCCTGCCTGCCTGCCTGCATCTCGGTATTCTCAGAGATCTCTGTAGATCTCCTTCAAAGTTTCGTTTGTTTGAGTAATGACCAAACGCCTGGGGAGTGCACATTAAAAAGGAATCATCATTATTGGCAGATACATGCCAGCCAGGGGGAAGGAGCAACGGGGCAACGGGGCAACGGGGCAAGGATTTTATTGGCAACATCCATTAAGAGATCTCTCCCAGTCTTTCTCTGCTGTAATTTGTGGAATTTTGTGCTTTTGCTGCTTTGCTGCTCTGGTGTTTCAAATGTTTTTACAATGTTTTATTGATGCTTTGATTAAGCTGTTGGTTTTTGCCAGCAAAAACAACACACACACAC